AATTGTTTTACCTATTATGCTTATCGCTCAACTTAGTTGGGCAACATTTTGTGCACTATTATTTTCATGAGCACCATATGTATATATTTGAAATTTGTATATAAATCAGTTTACATTAATTTTGAGAGCAAAACACTTTAGTATCAAGCCCTAACGTCGCTTGATTTGACTTAATTTTGTAATATGCTTTTAGGGCATTCGGATATCAGAGAATAAACTTAACGTATTTTATATTAAAATATTTGTAAAATCCTCATGTCAATAAGAATCACCCCCCATTGCCGACGGTCACGCTACGCCTCTGACTGTAGTTATGGATAGTTCAAAATACATGGATTATCTTTTTTTCTATAGCTGCTTGACAGCTGTGGATTTCGCCTTAACACTAAGATTATATAGAGAATTGCCAGCAGTTTAAGTTCTAACTGCGTAACTTTGTAATACTCTAAGACAGCTTCGGATAATGAAAGCCAAAGCATAATAATTGCTACACGTTTCGGATTTAAGCATCAGTTAATATTCATTATGATGAATAAAAGATTTAAATACGTATATACATATTTATGTCTTTTATCTTCTGTTATGTTTCCTGATCGTAGGGTATAAAATAAATGCGACCAACAACAACTAAGAAATTCGCAACAAAAAAAAAAAATGCCTAAAATGTTGAAGTTATTCATTAATTAAGCAAAAAGACAGCTAGAATTGATATTAATTTAAGCAAGTTTTCGATCGATTGTTGCTATTAAAAGCGAGAGCGAGAGGGAGAGTAAGACAGCGAGTGTGTGCAAGGGAGAGAGAGAGAGAGAGCGATTGTAAACTTTAGCATAACCTGTAAATCAGTCAGCGTCATATTTTTAGCCAAAAGCTAAACTCAGCTAAATCGCAATAGCTAGAATAGGAAGAGGAAGGGGAAGGGGAGACAAAACAAACAAAACATAGATCAGCTGAGAGGAATCTGTGGCGAAAACCAGGTTTCACATGCCGTAGAAGCGAACCAAGCGCTTCCTGCTAGAACATGTTTTCGAGCCAGATTGGACGTTGACTCGTCTTTTATTTAGTTTTTAATCAATTTTCGATTTCGTGGTTTTTTCGTTTTTGGCCAGTAAGTGAGTGGTTAGGCGGTCAGTTAGCTGAGGCAACATTCAGGCTAGACGCGTCGCTAGCTGCGGTTCATTGTGACTTTGAGTCTGAGTTGATTGCACTGTGGTCTGTGATCGCTCTTCCTGGTTCGATTGCTCATCTTCACCTCTCCATCTCCGTCTATCTTGCAGCGTGCGTCCTTTGGGTGTCCTGTTCCTGGGCCTGTTCAGCTATTGGCTCTATTGGACACGGTGCAGCTATAGAGTGGTGCTCACGCCACAGCTGCGCGAAAAGCTCGAGTCCTGGCTGCATCGCGCCGTCGATTGGCGCCACAACTCGCCCAGCATGTTCTGCTTGGTCAGCGCCGGCTGCCTGGCCACAATCGCCGTTTTGGGCCACCTGTTGTCCGGCTCGGTGCTGGTGATGACCCTGCTGGTCGTCTCCGCCGTCGTCTCCACCAAATACAATTTTAAGCTTGTACATATCGAGCGCAGAGGTAAGTGCAATCCTGAATCTATTTTGCTTATATGCCACATGGTAATCAATTGCACTTGCAGATTTCCAGTGGTCGGAGCGCATCAACTACAATAATGCCGTGTCCGAGCTGGACGATGAGTTCCTGCCGGACGTAAACGAATCGAATCTGTTTGTGCTGGAGCGGGCCAGCGATGTGGCCACCATCAGCTCACCCACCGATGCGGACGGCCTTGGCGATGGCGACGATGACGATCGCAGCGACGATGTGCCCTCCGAGCTGCTGATACCCGATTGCATACCAGAGATCGATGAGCATTCGACGGACGAGGACGATGAGCTGGTGCCCCTCTCGCAGTCCAAGCAAACTGCGGAAGCACAACAGCAACAGCAACAGCAGCAACAACAACAACAGCAATACGAACAGAGCCGACAGGCAATGGACAATGGCTCCACAGCGGACAAGACAATGGACTTTCGCAGGGGTCACTTCAAGCGTGACTCCTCGCTGTCCACCACCTCGTCGTCGTCGGAGGAGAGCCTGTCCAAGGGCCTGCAGTTCCCCGACCACACCAGCGTCGACGCTGGCGGCCCCTCGCTGCGCCAGCTGACCGCTCCGCCCACTGGCGCTGATACTGCCAGCAGTAGCAATCTATTGACGTTGGCTGTCAAAACGCAAGCGCAGGCGCTGCTGCCCAGCCTCGTCTCCAACCTGGTGCAGTGGGGTGCCAGCGAGCTGGACAGCACCGCCAAGCGGCGCCAGGTGACGGCGCTGGACTCGTCCGATGAGAGCGACTTTGAGATACTCGAAACGGACGATTTTAAATAAACTGCTGTACGCGGGGCGGCGTACAGTATTACCAACTAATATCTATCTATCTCTCTCTATATATATACATACATATATATGCAATATATATTGAAAGATATATATTTATTCACATATTGCATACATACGCCTGTAGAAATCACAGATGCACAGAGAGAGAGAGAGAGAGAGAGAGAGAGAGAGACAGGGGGAGAGAGAGAGAGCGAAAGAGAGGGAGCTCGGATTTGGTGGTTCTTTCGTTGCGGGCCAAGAATTTTGTATGCCATATGAGCAGACGGTCTTTAATTTGATCTATGTATATCGTAAATGTTGATTATATAGCTCCAATATATGAATGACGTATTTATACACAAATGTCGATTTCTTGCACCCATTTTTGGGTTCCCATTCCCTTTCATTCTCTCTGCTGTTTGTGCTCTGTATATTATTAATTATAATTTTTACTGTAATTTTTTTTTTTTACTTTTAATCGTAATTGGATGTTTGTTTTATTATCATTGTGCTTTGGAGCAGCGGTTAAGTTACTAAAGACGCAAATTGAAATTTTGATTTGAGTTTCGTTTACGATTTCTATTAGCTGTATGCAAAAATGTAAATATATTAATATTCATACATACATACATACGGATACTCATGCAAATGTTGAGCTACTTAATCTAAAACCCTAAAAAATAAAACAAAAGCGAAAAACCAAACGAAGAATTGGACAAACATACATGCATACATATTATTCTCTATAAACCTGATGCGGTGCTATAAACCATATTTAAAGAAAAATAAATGTAAAACAAAAAATCGCTTGAAAACAATTCGATAAACCTGTGTATAAATAATGCTACTTACTGATAATTGGAAATAAACTCAATTTATTTCAATAGTCGATGCTTTTTTATGTTTATCAATTATATTGTGACTATTAGAAGTCTGTTCTCATTGTAACAAAGAAAATTCATTAGTTTCTAAATAAAATACATTATAACACTATGAAATATATTACGCTCATTAACGACTTTAAGTTTGACACTATGAAAGAAAGTACTAGACCTTCCGTTTTTGCAAGTCATATGCAGAAATCTGACTTTAATTTTGAATGTATCGATTGGTAAGAGTAATTGTAATACGGTGATGGCAGGGACTTCTGTAAAATCGTACAATATTTCGTGCGTATTTTGTCTTTTTGCTGAATAGGTGCGCGCCGAACTTTAAATAGCTTAACAGAGCACATGGTAAACATATAGCATCATTAACAGAACAGTTAACTAATTGCAGAAGTATCGGTGCTGATTTTTGCGTTTGCGTTTTTTTAACAGCAGTGCGCGGCTGTTATTTGATTTGACAATAAGTTGGCATTCCTTCACATCGAACAGAAAGTCATCGTCGTGGCATCGATGCTGCTGGTCTTTGCAATCGTCCCGCGAGTGTGTTATCGTTAACTTTAAATTGTCAATTTTCGACATAAGAAAATTCTGCAAGATTTAGTGAAAAAAATCAATTTCTCAGACATTTCAAAGCTAAGAACTACCAGTTCCGCGTTAATTGAAGATAATTTTGCACAAGATTTCTCGCGCAACATCATTGCTTAAATATAATTAAAAAGTGACGATAATTAAAGATGAATATTAATATGAAAGAATCCGTGGTTGTTGCGGTGCGTGAAGCTCCCTATCGTAACACAGGCATGCAAGGCATTAACGACATTGAAAGAAGCGTCCTCGAGTTCTCCAGGGAGTGCCCCAAGGTAAATATGACGTGTAAAACAAATTTCATCTGTCATCCATGTTCAGTAGAAATTTAACCTGTCACTTGAAATTAAATATGGCTTCTTCATACAGGCAGTGATTGTCGATGGCACCGTGTATAGTTTTGATCACAGCTTCGACTCGAAAGTCTCGCAGGAGCAACTCTATCGAACATTGATCCATCCGCTGGTGCTGAAGGCATTGGCCGGCTACGACTGCACTGCCATGGCCTATGGCCAGACAGGAACTGGCAAAAGCTATTCCATGGGCATGTCTGCCGAGGTGAGTGCTCCACACATACATATGTATACTAAGGCAGCTCGAGCTGATTGAGCATCTGTTTAACTCTGTAGAGAATGTCGGAGGAGCACGTCGGCATAGTGCCCCGTTGCCTGAAAGATATTTTGAAATATATGAATATTAATGATCAAAAAGAGAACCACGCTGCTATGGGAGAGGTTTTTGCCTCATTTATAGAAGTCTATAATGAGAAGGCCTACGATTTGCTTGCGGTCGACGTCAATGAGCCGTTGACCTCGCGCACCCATCCACGTTTTACTGGCGGCACCTGCATGCCCATGAAGAGTCAAAAAGATCTGTTGCAGATTTTGATGCTGGGCACCAAGAACCGCCATGTGCGCGCCACCAACATGAACAATAACAGCTCTCGCTCCCATGCCATTGTCACCATACACATCCAGCAGGGCTTCCAGCACTCGCGCCTCAACATCATCGACTTGGCCGGCTCCGAGAGTGTCCGTCGCACTGGCAACGAGGGCGTTGCTCGCGCCGAAGGTGTCTTCATCAACATGGGACTCATGGGCATCAACAAAGTGATGGCATCCTTATCCGCTGGCCGCTCACTGATACCGTACCGTGAGTCCATTCTAACAACTGTTCTACAGGGTATGTTTGTTGGGTCTGCATATGTGGAGTCCAAACTTTGTGTGTTGCGCCTGTTCCAGCATTTCGTGTTTAACGTATTTTTATTATACTCTGAATCCAATGAAAGTGTAGGGACCCCTGCACGCCCCATAAAGTATAAATGTATGTATATTATTGACGACCTAAGTCGATCTAGCCTTGCCCGTCTGTCTGTCCGCACCTACGACCGTCTGCTGTTAATTTTTCGTCGTCGATAAAAACTTTCCAAATTCATTTATAAAATTATATCTCGCAATTTTGTATTTAGTTTCATTTCAATTTCAATTATTGTCATATTTTGGGGCTCCAAATTAGATGATAGAATAGATCATATGCTGAAAACTTCATTAAAATCCGTTAAGTTACACAGACGGCATTTAACGAAATGTTTGGCCAATAGGAAAACGCATGGGCAGCAACGTCAAAATTTTTCATGTGCATACATATATACATACATGTGTACGTGTGCACACACACACATTCAAATGTGTGCCTTCTGGCATATTCTAAACCGGAAGTGTGCTCACTACTTTGGTGCTGAGCCGCTAGGTGGCGCCATGGCAATAGAGCAGTGTCAGATTGACAACTGCTCTAGACTAGGTGCACGGATATTTTTTGTCTTCTTCTTTTCTTTTTTGCTTTTTATAAAACTTGATGTTTGATTCTGAAAGTGCAAGCTCGAGAATTGCAATAATTTTGTTTTGTTTTATGCAAGATTTCAGAATTAGGGGTAACTCCTAGTCGGACACTTCGACTACAGATTTCCTAATTGGGTAATTATACAATGCTTTTTTGCTTTTAGCTTCTTTAAACTCACAGTGCAGTCTGACGCTGTTGGTCTGCATCAGTCCACATGCCAGTGACCTCAACGAAACTCTTTCCACGATTCGCTTCGCCAAGAATGCCAAGCAAATGAAGATTACTCCACAACTTTCGCAGCAGATACAGCAGATGCAGGAGATGCATCAGAATAGGGTAAGTGATACAATGATGCAACAATTATATATAATTATAATCTACACAGTCCAAAATGACGCCGCGCATGCGTTGCTTGTAGAGCAGCTCGTTGCCGTCGCCCAGGAAGCCGACTTTTCGTAAGTTGGTTGCGGCGCCGCCTTCGACCAGGTCGCTGATGGCCTGCAGATCGGGCGCATCCTCGCTGCGAATGGTCACAATGGGCAACACCATCATGGCCAGCAGCAAGCCCACGGCGCCCTTCTCCTGCAGCTGCTGCTTGAACGCCGACAGCGGGAATACGACTTCTGGCCGCTCGCCCAATCTTTCAAGATTGAAAATTGCAGAAGAAGTATAGAGCAGGAGAAGTTGAGAGCTCAGCTTACCTGATCAATTGCTGTCGCAGCGCTTCGTAGTACAGCTCGAGCATCGACTCGTAGTGCTGCCGTCGAAAGTCGCGCGTGGTGCAGGTGAACAGGAAGTAGGCCAGGTCGGTGACGGGCGAGGCGTAGCGCATTAGCTGCCAGTCGATGAGGCGGACCTCAGCCGGCTCCTCGCTGCCCGGCTGGCATTTGTACAGGAAATTGTTGTTCCAGCTGTCGCCGTGGCAGACCACTGCAAATGGCTCGCAGTTGGAGCCACTGAGCAGCGCTGTGAGCATCTCAAAGTAACTGCCCCGCCCGAAATACTCTCGCAGGCGCTCCATGTAACTGCGGTCGGTCTGCGGACGGAGGGCATCCAGGGCGCTCAGCTTCAGCTGCTCGAAGTAGGCAGCCAGGCCTTCGTCGGAGCGCCGCTGCTCAAATATGTCCAGCATCTGCTGGAAGGGCCGCAGCTGCTGCGGCTGTCGCTGCTTCATGGCCAGAGAAACGGCATGCAGCTTGGCATAGGCGCCCATGACCAGGGAGACGTACGCGGTCGTCAGTTCGGCGAAGCGATCGTGCATTTGGTAGCCAGCGCGACACAAGTCCTCCAGCACAATGCACTCGTTGGGCTCGTCCTGGCGCGTGGCCAAGTGGTGCGCGTAGTGGCGAAACTGTTGCGCCTCCTCCAGCTTTCGCTCTGTCTGAAATCGGTTCGCAAGCGGCAGGAACTGCTCGTAGGCCAGCGCCTCGCGCTTGAAGCACGGCCGGGCAAAGAATTGCTTGCGCCTGACGGCGTTCTGGGGCGGCAGCTTCAGGACCAGACTCTGATCCGGCGGGACGTGTATCCGCCACACAATGCCCAGGTAGTTGTTGCCCTTAGCGCAGGCCAGCTCGAGCGTGTAGTCGCTGCGCCCAAGCACTTTCTCAAGAGTCTCCCGCACGCTGGCATTGGGCAGATCCTCCTGTTGCTCCATTGCCCGTCTACTGAGACCGCTGCGAGGCCTTTGACTGCTTTTATAGCACGCATAAATAAACCGCAAGCGCAACCGCAGAACTTGAGCTGCAGTCAAACTCATTGAGAATGGCAAGTCGAGGTATAACGGTTTCGTTACAATGTATGTAACAGGCAGCAAGAGGCGTGGCAGACCCTATAGAGTATGTATATATTCCTGATGATGAGCTGAATCCAACTGCCCGTCCGTCCGTCCGTCCGTCTGTCTGTCATTCCTATCCCATATCACACGCTTATCGAGTATAAAAAAAATTGGGAATTCTTCTTTATTTGTTATAGTATTAAAAATCCGCTATAGAATTATATCTCATACATCTTTCGAGCTAGACTCTCCGAATTCTGCATATAGCTTCACTTATAGATGCATAGTTTGGGGAGTCTCGTTCTAAAGATGAATGAGATATAGTTTGATAACTGATTAGTCGCTCCTTGAGGGGATCTCCTAGTCGGTCATCCTCGTTTGCAGCTTTGTCACATGTCATGTCAAGTATCCATTTTATTGATTGCAGAGCTCCGCCCAAACAACTTCCAATCAAAGCATTACCCAGAACCTGGGACGTCTGCTGCCCAACTCCGTCAACATCAGGCGCCGACCACCGCTCAGCTCCAATCCAGGTGCTCGCAACAGCTTCAGCATTAGCATTCCTCCGGGGGCACAGCCGAACTCAAGAAAACGGTAAATAGAATATGTTATTTGTGCACAACAAAGGAAAATGAATATTGACCAAGATTTCTGCTCATTGACAGTGCTCGTCGTGCGCAAAACGCATTATTGTCCTCGTCGGACGAGAGCGACACCGGTGTGGCGCCGACTGGCGTGATTTCGCCAACTGTAGCTGAATTTCTGAAGCTCAAGAAGGAGTACGCGGAATTGCAGCGCGGGCTAAGAGAGCTAAGAGAGCAGAGGGCTCAGCCAGAAGTCCAGGCAGAGGAGCCGCCTTTGGCCGCTGAGCGCCCACAACCATCTCAGCTTACCTTCCGTGAGTTTAACTCGGATCTCTCTTCCATTGCCGAGGAGGGCGATGCAATCCCTCCTCCGCCTTTCCGTATATTTACCAGTAGCCCGACCATTTACAATAATCAAAATGCTGGTTTGCTTCGCATGAGCGGCGTATCTTCAGCCCCTACAGCATCGTCCTCGGGGGCAGCTGTTGCCGCAGCTGAGCCAATGCCTGGTCGCCTTTCAACGCGCTTAAATAGTCGCCAGGCTCAACTCATTCAGGATATCACTAATGGCCAGGATCAAAGGCCGCTGCGCCGCAGCTCCCGTATTGCCAGTCAATCGGGAGGGCCGCCAACTGAACGAAACGAACCAGCTGAGAGAACTGAAGGAAATGAAGAAAATGGAGCAAATGAAGCAAATGAAGGAATCGAAAGAGCTGAAGGGCCATCCCAACTACGTGCCACGTCAGCGCTGGCTGCTATCGGTGAGCGTTTCACCATGGATAGCACCGTGGGATCCCAGAGAGCCCGCTTGTCCAAGCATCGCGCTGAGCTATTGTCCTTATTGAATACGGCTAGCGTTAAGGATTTGCAGGCTTTGCCTCAAATCGGACCGAAAACAGCAATGGCATTGATCATGCAGCGGTAACTACTAAGCCCGCTTCGCTTGCCTTACATTTCAATTTAAACACATATGCTCACACTTCCTCTATTCGCAGCTCGGTGTTGGGTCATTTCAGGAACTGGAAGCAAGTGGAGAAGCTCCCCATTTGGAAGGACATTAGCTGGTCTCGCTTCGCCAAGGCAGTTTGCATTGAGATTGACCCATAATCCATTTTTTTTGCTTTTTTTTTTCAAATTTATTTTTAGCTTCCCAGGCTATCTAAATATATAAATCCCACACAGAGGAGTACCAATCTAAATATGAAAATCCCACACAGAGGAGTAGCAATCCAAATATATAAATCCCACATAGAGGAGCACCAATCCAAATATATAAATCCCACATAGAGGAGCACCAATCCAAATATATAAATCCCACACAGAGGAGCAGCAACTTGGATGTGCATGACTTAAAAATAATTAAATCTAATATAATCTTTATATTTAGATAACGGAAAATTGTGTTCAGCTTATCATTTAGATGGGGCTTTCTTCTTTTTAATTTAATTTAATTTTTTTGTTTTTTACGGGTTTTTGTGCTGGCATATTTATTTAGTATTGATAAACAGTCATATAATTAAGATCTCACAAGTTCCTAATATGAACGTAGTTTAAGTATTGAATACTAAATAACTAAACATGAGTTGACATACACTAAGTGCTTGCAACATTTTTACAGTTAATATTTACTGAATATATGTTTGTTACGTATATATTATTATAAGAATTTTATGTTACCTTATGAGCAAACACCAAGGTCGGTGGGAGATCTGAAACTTGTTAAAGTCTTGGACTCTCAATGACATGGAATGACTGATTAGAAATATCTTTAGGCTAATCTTCAAGAAATCCAGCGGCTTGATATGCCATGGCTTATATACATTTATAGATGTACAGACTTTATCATATTTGCATAAGTACAAATCGATTATATAAACTAATCCGAATTTAAGAAGAAAGCTTTATATCGCTTAGTATACTGTGATGAATCCGATGCAGATGATATATTAGAATATTACATAATATATATGTATGTATGCATGTTCATGTAAATGACGGTGCTACTGAGCAGTAAGTGCTCGACAATAAAATTTACACATTTAAGACAAAATATGTATTAGAAAATATATACATACATATGTGCATACAACTTGAGTTGTATGTTTTGTGATGAACTGCAATCGCCAGGAACATATTAAATATGGCCGAAAGTAACGGAATGTTTTTGTTTTGTTTTTGTGATTATATGCGTTCCATTCTAAATAAAAAATGCGAATCTTAAATCTAAATCATTCCCAAGGATTTTTGTTTTATTAATACCAAAACTAATTAATACATATATGTATATACATACATATGACATTTATATTGATGTAAATATGTATGTTAGCTACGAATTACTTCAATTGGACTATTACTATAATGTATGTGCATATGTCTGTATGTTTGTGCAACTTCTTTTTATACCCTGAACCCATTGAAAATGGGAAATCAGGGTATAATGGTTTTGTGAAAAACTATGTAACGGGTAGAAGGAGGCGTGGCAGACCCCACAAAGTATATATATTCTTGATCAGCGTGACGAGCTGAGTCGATATAGCCCTGTCCGTCTGTCCGTC